GCATCTGTCAATTAACATCATCATCAGAGCTACCGTACGAGCTTACAAAATCTTGGGCCGGGCCAATATCAAATTAACTCTTCTCCCATTCGGGAAAGCAAAAATGTCCAACTCAACTCCTTCAAAATATTTGCATATCTAACCGTAAAACCGGGTATATCGACCCATCCTACTATTAAACCATGTAAAATGACTCACTGGCTGTTTGGAGAGTGGTTTTCGCTATGTGGCGTCCACGTGGTAGCTCAGTCATCACATGAATTAAAAATAAATGTGGGTCGAACATTTAAATGATATGGAAAAGAAACAAGTACTCATTTGACCCTATTCACCAGGCTCTACCAATCTGATCTCACCTTTTCAACTATACTTATTTGATCCCATTTTTAAAAATTGAAGATTAAGGCTAACCTTATTTTGTGAAGGAAGATAACCGTGCTAGCTAAGCGGCAAATTGTTATTTTTGCCCTTGCTCATTTGGTCTTCTTATATAAAAGCCCTTTTTTTTTATAAATTACACCCATAGTACAACAACTTGGCGGGTGGGTGCGATATAGTGTAAGAACTCGAGAATTAAACGTTCGAGTGCAATAATTTGACAAATGGGTGTGTTTTAGTACAAGAACTTAATAATTTAATATTTTGATACATAAACTTAGCTAAGCATATAAGCATATGCTAGGTGAGTTTTTCTCATGATATCAATATGCCATTAAATAGCAATCCTATGGATATTACCTTATAATATTGAATTCAATCTTTAAGAATTATACTGCATATCTAATTACCTTTAAGAATTTTGTTTTCTTCACCTTCCCAAATCTCAACCAAAATATATTAATTTCTACCTCCAGTTTAATTGACTTTTAGTTATTAGTTATTAGGATAATATAAATATGCTTATATACAAATCCACGCTAGTATGTTGTCAAAATAAGTACTTAAAAATAAAATATGTATAAAAAAGTGCTCTAAATAATTAAGTTACCGCATAACTTCTTAACTTATTGTATCAAAATCGTACATATCTTGCAAGTTGTTGCATTTATGCGATCACTTATAAAGTTCTTGAACTAAATTGCACCTATCTGCCAAGTTGTTCCACTAGAACGCTCATTTCTCAAGTTCTTGTATGAAATTGCACCCACCTGCCAAGTTGATGCATCGTGGATGCAATTTACTCTAAGATCTTTTTGACATATTTATAATAAATTTAACATAGCTATTCAAACCGTGCAAAAATGACTCACTCAATTGTTTTGAGGATGGTTTTTTGCTAGCGTGGCGTCCAGATGGTAGCTCTGTCATCACATGAACTAAAAATAGATGTGGGGCCTACATGTAAGTGATTAAAAAAAAGATAATTGCTCATTTTACCCTATTCTGAAGGCTAACTACCCATCTATAATCTCACTTTTTCAACTTTACTTGTTTGACCCCATTTTTCAAGTTTGAAGATCAAGGTTGACCCTATACCATGAAGACAAGATAACTGTGCTAGCTATGGGGCAAATTGTTATTTTTTCCTCGCTCATTTGACCATGTTATATAAAAAGTCTTTTGTTTATTCAGACCTTTTTGACATATTTATACTAAATTTGGCATAGCTTTCACAGATTTGAGACAAGTGAAGTACACAAAGGTTTGAGATCATTAGGACACAATGATATAAGTGGAGTACTTGGACTTTGCAGGTGGACACTATTATGAAATTAGGATGGACCCTTTATTTTGTGGGTGAGCATTGCAACGGACCCAAAAATTCATCAACTTGTGCTTCGATGTCCTACTTGAAAAGTGGGGGTCAAATGAGCAAAATTGAAAAACTAGGGTTAAATTGCTTCGGTACAGAGTGGCATGAGCAATTGTCCCTAAGGAAAACATAAAAAATTATGGGCCCACATGTTCGAACCGACTCTTCTTCTCCTCTATCTTTCATCTTTCTTTCGCAGAAACAAGCGCAAGAATCCAGAAAAATAGTGCAGACTTGCTTGTCGCCATCTCCCCACAAGGAGGCCAAGTGGCGGCAATGGCGGAGGAAGCTGAGGAGGCCACCATCATCACCTGGGTTATGAATGGCATGGGGTGGAGCAGCGTGCAGGCTGAACTTTTTCTGCATGTCGGTGTTGTCATCGGGGAAGAAGGTTGTCGAGCTGAGAAGGAAGTCAACAGGGTTGCGGCGCGAAGCTGCCGGTGGCCGCGGAGTATGACATCATGGAGGAGATGGGCCGTGGAGCTGGATGTTGGGCGCTGCTGTTGCTCTCTCTCCTCCGCCGAGCACTCACCTTGCTGAGCAGACCGCCACCGCTCTCACCTCCAGTGACAAGAGACGACAAAGAAAAGAGGCTAGTCCTCCCCACCGTCATCATCTTCCACCTCCCCACAGGGGATCCCATCCTCCTCGTGGCTCTCCAGGGATCGTTGACCGCCACCGCCTCTCTTCCCTCAGGCACGCTGGTGAGCTTTGACCTCGTGTAGGTCCCTTCAAGGAGGGGCATGTTGTGGTGGAGGTAAGTGAGCGCCATGGGGAGATATGATAGGATGGTGTGGGCCGGGAGTGCCATGGCTAGGGTGAGACTGGTGACGCTTGTGCCGGACCTAAGCTCCTTGCCACCATCCTCTCTGCCTCCCCCGGCTGATTTTCCTCACGTGGGGCCATCGCCTCTCTTGTCTATGAGGAAGTAGCTGCCGCCTTTAGCTCTTTTTTTTGTCGGGCACTGCCTTGGTCCCACCAGTTGTCACCGTCGGCCCGACCACTGCGAGAAAGGAGAGGTGGACAAAATGCCACATTAACAAAAACATCTGCCAATACTGCTAAGACTTTGTACTGGTTTTAATAGTTGGAGGGGTTGATATACCCGATTTTAGGGTTGAGGGATACAAATCAGATCTAACCTTTATCTGAGGGAGTTAAATTGGACCTTTTCCTTTTCTAGAGTATCCTACTCGGCCCGGCCTGGTCCGAACTCCAAAGCAAACCAGCCTCCATCCCTCACGTCATCCCTCCTCGCGCCTCGTCATCGTCGTCTTCCGAAGGATGCTACGCATCGGACGTTCGATATTTTGCAAATATCCGATGTCTGCTAGTTATGGAGGTCTTACTTTATGCATGCACCTACACCTGCCTCTATACATGTCAGTGTGGGTCTATTATTCTCTCTTTAGCAGAGTATAGCAAGTACCTCCCACTCATGTACATGCATACAGGATTTTTCTCCTAAAATATTTATCCGATCAATAATCTGATTATGCTATTGTGTTTGTTGCAATTAAATCTTCACAACAAGATCTAACATCATTATATTTTGATAAAATTATATATGTTTTTTCATCACTTGGATAAATGTTTCAGCCCACTTAATAAGATGTTTCATAGGGGTGCAACATTATAAAATTACTAACTGCAACACCCATAATCAATGCATGAAACATTGAGTCGTAACGAGTGAAACATCATAAAAAAACATATGTGGTATACAATATGTAAATAATTAATTCTATTGAAACATTTTTTATCACATATAAAACACCAAGATGTAATTATTGAACCATGATAAAATACTTATTGAAACATCTAAATAACATGATGTACAACATTTGCAAACGAAGTACAGAAACATCATACAATACTTACTGAAACATCTTAATAACGCCATATGCAGCATAAAATTTAAAAAAATCATCGTAATTTAATCATATGAGATGTTGTTGTAAAGATTTAATTGTAACTAATAAAACGGTGTAATTGGATTTTAGATTCACTATTGGAGAATCGCTTTTTAGTCTCAGTTGGGAACCCTCCTATAGTGACTAAAGATGTTCATTTTAGTCCCGGTTGAAATAACCGGGACTAAAAATAGATTTTTAGTGCCGGTTTGTAACACCAACCGAGACTAAGTTACCAACCGATACAAAAGTTATTTTTTTTCTTTTTTTTCTACCGCAAATATCTCCAAATCAAATAAAATAATAAATCACAGATTTTGTTCACACATCCCAAATCATTCACAGCAACAAACCAATATCTCAACATCCCAAATCATCCACAACAACAAATCATACATCATTCTCAAATCACAGATAAAATCAGCAAACAATTATTCACATTATTCACACAACGAGAAGGAAAAAAGAAAAAGAAATCCATGAATCCTTCCGCCGCGCGGTCTTCCGCGCCGGGCCGCCGTCGCTCAGCCACCGCCTGGCGGCCGTCGCCCTGCCACGCCTGGCCGAAACCTCCCCAGCCCGCCATCGCCTGGCCGCCGCCGCCGCCGCCCGGCACGGCTCGGCCCCGGCCGCCGCCGCGGCCCCTCCCTGGCACGGCCCTAGCCGCCGCCGCCCTTGCCCGGCACGGCCCGGCCGCTGCCCCTCCCCGGCACAGGTCCGGCCGCCACCGCCCTCGCCCGGCATGGCCCGGCCGCCGCCGTGGCCGCCCCCGCCCAGCATAGGCTCGGCCGCCGCCGTCTCTCCCCGTCACGGGCCCGGCCACCACCGGCCGCTTCTCCTGCAGATCTGAGGAAGAGAAGAGAGGAAGGGGAGAGGAAGAGATGAGAGGGAAAGAGGAAGAGATGAGGAAGAGAAGGGAGAGATAAAGAGTGGAGGGGAGGAAGAGATAAGAGGGTGACGAGGACTCAGATCGATGCGCGCGCACGGAGAAATGATGAAAGAGAGAGAGCGAGATGTGGGAAACTGATTTGTAGTCCCGGTTGGTATAAACAACCGGGACTAAAGATCTGATCTTTACTCCCAGTTGTTTATACCAACCGGGATTAAAAATATTAGAAGACTTGCCACGTCGTGCCAAAAAAGATTATCTTTAGTCCCGGTTAGTGTTAGATCATTGCACTTTTAAACCGGGACTAAAAATGCTTTTTAGTCCCGGGTTTTTTAAGCAACCGGGACTATTGTTGTTTTTGGGCAACCAATCAAAGATGGTTTCTCCCGTAGTGATTGGACAAGTATTTTTGGAAAAAAAAAGGCTACATCTTGCTTAAAAAGTTAAATGCATATGCATATGCAATTCAAAAGGCAAAGAAGAGAGAGAATATGAGTGGGATTGGCTGAGAGCGTCCGAAAGTATTTTCCTCGTCTTCCTCGATCCACGCTTCTCGCAAGATCCGATCGACTCGATCGACAATCTCAGCTGCTGTTCGTTCGTGCGTGCGTGCAACCGGATGTGAGATCGATCTCCCGTGCGCTGTGAGACGCGCGTGCGGAGATCGATGAGGAAGGAGGAGCTGGACTACGTGCTGATCCCGCTGGGGATGGCGCTCATGGTGGGGTACCACGCATGGCTGCTCCTCCGCATCCGCCGCCGCCCGGCGACCACCGTCATCGGCGTCAACGCCATCAACCGCCGCATCTGGGTCCGCCACATCATGGAGGTTCGTCCGTACACTTGATCTGGTTTTGGTGGCGAGCGAGATGAGAATGAGATCGCCGGAGTGACGGGGTTCGGGTGGATACAGGAGGCGTCGGGGAAGCACGCGGTGCTGGCGGTGCAGACGATCCGGAACAACATCATGGCGTCGACGCTGCTGGCGTCCACGGCCATCACGCTCAGCTCCCTCATCGCCATCCTCATGTCCTCCGCCGGCGGCGGCGGCGGCGATGGGCTCCTCCCGGGCGCGCCGCTGGTGGTGGGCGCCGCGGGCGAGACGGCGCTGTCGGTGAAATTCTTCGCCATCCTGGTGTGCTTCCTGGTGGCGTTCCTCCTGAACGTGCAGTCCATCCGGTACTACAGCCACACCAGCACCCTCGTGAACGTGCCGGTGCGCCTGATCCAGCGCCGCCGCCGCCCGGGCCTCGCCGTCGACTACGTCACCGCGACGCTCAACCGCGGCAGCTACTTCTGGTCGCTCGGCGCGCGCGCCTTCTACTTCTCCTGCCCGGTCTTCCTCTGGCTCTTCGGGCCCATCCCCATGTTCGCCGCCTGCGCCGCCATGGTCTGCGCGCTCTACTTCCTCGACGTTTGCGACGACTGGGAGGAGGAACACCAAGACCACGACGAGCAGGATGGAAGCGGGAGTGATGAGAGATCAGGAGAAGCGAAGGTCTGAGCCTATGTGTGTTAGGATGCTACGTAGATAATTTTTTTTTAAAAAAAAGTACTTCCTCCGTTTCAGGTAATAAGACGTTAAGTCAAAAGTCAAACTAGTTTAAGTTTGACTAATTTTTTAGAAAAAAATAATAGTATTTTTAACTCAAGACTAACATATTATGAAAATTTATTTAATTATAGATTTAATAAAAGTATGCTGGTGTTGTAAATATTACTACATTTTTCTATAGAGTTAGTTAAACTTAAAGTAGTTGATTTTGACCAAAGTCAAAACGTATTATAACCTGAAACTGAAACAGAGGGAGTAATTTGAAATGGATAACCAACTCAATTTTCCGCAAAAAATAATAAAAAGTTCTCTTGTATATCCACAGACACTGCACATAATCAGTCCTGTGAAATAACCCTCCCTAGGATGAGCAAAATGCAAGAAACAACATATGCAACGATATATCGCTGTAACAGGCAAGCAAATCTTACGAATTTGTGAGTATCAAAATATAAGTAATCTCTCCATCCCAGAAAAATATAAGAATCTTCGATTAGACAAGACACTTCATAAAACTACAAATTTGAATAATCTACATGTTCAGAAATGTCTTATCCGATTCTAAACTATTAAATTTTAGACATTTTAGACCGAGGGAGTACTAAATAATTAAAGAACCGCAGCATAGTAATAATAATCTAGGTGTGCAATAATTAAAGTACTACTAGATAACTAGAACAGAACCGAGTCACATTCTACCGTAATTTACCTAATATATCCTAATCCACAGGTATAAACAGATCAGAAAAGATGCTCATCTTGACCCCATAAGTTTATCCTCGTCGTTTTCACGCTCTCTCCCTATTTACACAAGTAGATGCACCTGTTATCAACATAGAGATGCATAATTCTCTCGATATGTGGTTGAACGACAAATATGTTCACTTTATTTATATAATGTTAGAGGAATTTTATAATTATTAAGATGTACCAAAATTTAGTACAAATTTGGAAGGTCAAATTTGGTACCTTCCAGTACCGGAGGGAGAGGTACAAAATTTTACATTGGGGGCTGTTCAAATTGATGTCATTTTTAACCATACTATTTTTTTTTGCAAAACTATCAAAAAAAAAATATTCACGTTTAGTTTTGCCAAACTTTGGTAAATACATAAGAAATCCTGTTAATGCCTAAATTTTGCTATTGCCAAAGTTTCATAAGGTTTATTTTGGCTACAATCTAAACATCCCCTAGAAAATAGGGAAAAGTCCATTTTACACCCTCCAACTCTTTGTTTTGTCTAAAATACACTCCCAAACTCTAAAACCGGATATTTCACACCCTCCAACTTTCAATACCGTTCACTTTACACCCTCGAGTGGTTTTTCAGCTGGTTTTCGCCTATGTGGCATTGACGTGGAAGTCTAGGGTGGAAATAAAAAAAATAGGACCAAATGTCAGTCCATAGCCACGGAGGCAACCACCTCTTCTTCTTCTTCCCTCATCTCCTCTTCCCTTTCTCTCTCTATCCTTCTTCCTCCCAGAGCTATGGCAGTGGCATTCTTGAGCTCGTGGAGTAGGAGATCGGTGGTGGAGACTCTTTGAGGCGACGGAGCTCAAACACATCCCTAGCCTTTCCTTCCGCGCCGACTGCCGGCGAGCCCGAGCTCAAGGTCCACCTCTCCTGCAGCCTCCAGGAGCAGCTATCTTCTCCATGAAATCCAACTCGCTGGTGGTGCTAGAGCTGCTTGGGGACGTAGAGTTCGGCGGAGGCGATGGGGCTTGGGGATCAGGAACTCAAGCTCGATGAGGCGGCGGCGGCCGGCGGATGCAGATATGGCCTTGAGCTTGACCTCGTCCTCGATCAAGCAGTGGCGGCGTTCCATAGGAGGACTCCTCCCCACGCGTGTGGCTCCGGCGAGGTCCGCCTCTTCCGCGCAGGGCAGCAAGGTCCACCGCTGTTGCCACTCTCCTCGCTGGCGACTGCGTGCAGAGCCTTTCGCTGGCGACTGCCTCCGCGACCATGGCAGCGCCGCCGCCCTCGCAGCTCCACGCTGACGCCGCAGCCACCGCCCTCGCAGCTCCACGCCCCGCCCTCACAACCACACGCCGACGCCACAGCCTATGCCCTCGCAGCTGCACGCCGATGCCGCAGCCTCTGCCCTCATAGCTCCACGCCGACGCCGCAACCGCCGCCCTTCGCAGCTCCACGTCCCGCCCTCGCAGCTCCATGCCGATGCCGCAGCCGCCGCCCTCGCAGGTCCACGCCGCCGCCGCCAACGCGAACAGGGCAGGGAGGGAGAGAGAGTGAATATGGGCTTGGCCCATATTATGTTGTGGACTGACGTGGCAAGGGCTGATGTGGCATCCGACGTGTCAAAAACCACCGTAAAAACAGCCCGGGGGATTAAGCGTCCGGTATTGAAAGTTTGAGGGTGTATTATATTCGGTTTTATAGTTTGGGGTGTATTTTGGATAAGCATAAGAGTTTGAGGGTGTAAAATGGACTTTTCCCTAGAAAATATATGATGTCTCCCAATATCTTCTTAATAACTATAAAATCACTCATAATTTTAAATATATAATATGTATATGGCATGTTTATCACCAGCACGTCTAGAAGACCTGATGGAGCAAGGAACTTACAACAACTAATCAAGAAAACAGTAGATCAAAATTAAGAAGAAAAAGTGCTTTCTTGATCAAAATCAATAAAACAGGAGTTCTGGGCTAGCTAGTTGCTACCAACCATGATCAGCCCCACTGTCTTCTTCATTGTCAAATCTTCGTGCTGAAGCCAAGGGTGGAGCTCGGAGGACGTAGGAGATATGCTACCGGCGTGAAGGCTGACATCAGTATACAAAGGTCAAAGGGGGCAAGCGCTCTGGATTTTTCACAATTTGGTCCTTTCAAAAAATCATTTCGCAAATAGATACCTGAAAATACTTATCCCAAAAATGGTCCTTTTTGAGCGCCAGAGTCGCTGGCGCCGTCCTCCTACCACCGTGGCAGGTCGGCGCTGAGGTGGCAGGGGGAGCGTGCCAATGTGGCTGCCCCCCCCGGCCCCCGCATTTTTTTTATTTTTCTTTTATTATTTTGATATTTTTTCATGGTTAGGAATATACCAGAACCAACCATAGAAAAAATGAACTCAAATGGACGAAATACGTGACTTGTAGAATTTTTCCTCTCTAGTGTAGATGAGAGAGATGTGCAACTTTTTTATTTTTATTTTATTGATATTTTTTTCATACTTAGGAACCCACAAGAACCAACCGTAGAAAAGTTTAACTCAAATGGACGAAATATGTGACCTGTAAAATTTTCCAAAGCTCTACCGAAAAGCTTCTCGTCTTGAAAACACAATCTTGAAAGCTGAATTTGGAGGTTTTAATCTCGCTGAACTCAGCAAAGCCAGGGAGAATTGGATGTAACTTTTTCTGTAGATGTCCGTGGATATATTATTTGCCTGATTCTAAGTCCGTATGAGAAAGTTACGCCTGTTTTAAGAAATGACACTCGAATATAGCAGAAAAAACCCTAACTTATTTTTTTTATAGGATGTAAAAGAGGTTAAAAAAGGCTAAGAGTATTCAAAATCTAATCTACTTTTTTTGGTGGGGGGAGAGGTGGGGGGCTATAGGAAAACCAAAACAACGAAGAGCAGGGATAGCGCGGGGGAGGGGGTTGGGGGGGGGGGGGCTTTTCGGTATAGCTTTGAAATATTTGAGTTTATTTTTTTTACGGTTTGTTCTTATGTGCTCCTAAGTGTGAATTTATTTTTTTAAAAATAAAAAGTTGCACATCTCTCTCCTCTACACTAGAGATGAGAGAAGAGGTAAAAATGGCGGCCGGGGGGGGGGGGGGGGGCAGCCACTCTGGCGCGCTCCCCCTGCCACCTCAGCGCCGCCCCACCACGGTGGCAGGAGGTTGGCGCCATCTACTCTGGTGCCCTGAAAAGAACCATTTATGGGATAAGTTTTTCCAGGAGTTTATTTGTAAAATAAGTTTTTCAAAAGTACTAAATTGTAAAAATTCTAGGGCAGGCGCCAACATTAGCGTGGAGGATGGGGGAAGGGAGTAGAGGGGAGGAGCCACAATCGCGCCGGCATGAAGAGGTTGGGAGAAGGGAGGAAGCGGCACCGCCCCGCCGGCGTGGAAGTGGAGATGGAGAAAATGGAGCGTCATGTGTGATGATGTCAGGGATCGATGCTTTTAATAATTCGGTGAAGCAGGTGTGTTCGGCACTTTCCCCTCTCGTTTGCCGCGCGCATGCTTTTCAAATTGCTAAACGGTACGTTTTTTCTAAAATGTTTCTATATGAAAGTTGCTTAAAAAATCATATTAATTCATTTTTGAAAAAAATAGCTAATACTTAATTAATCACGTGCTAATGTACCGCTCCGTTTTCCACGCACACTGTTCCTGGTTGGGAACCTCCAGTAGCAAACACACCCTAAGGGCATGGCCAACGCAGGGTACCCCTCAAATGCCACGTGGGATGGGGCAACACTCTCAAAAAGCTAATTTCCTACTGTGCTAGTTTCTCCAGGTGGTAGCCTCATATTTTTATTTCAGTCCTTGGTGTTTTTCATTTTAGTTCTCACAATTTTTCAATTTATATAGATGTTTAAATTTTATACTAAACACCCTAAAATCTAGAAATTAATATAAAATCTCTCCTCCTCCCTCTTCTCCCCAGTCCCCACCAACACCCTCCCCATTTCACGCCTCTATAGCTCTCCTCTCCTCTCCTCTCCCCTCCCCGGCAGCGATCGAAGCGGCGGCGGCTGACCCATCGACGCAGTGGCGGCCGGTCTCGACGCGCCGGCGTGGGGGGGGGGGGGATCGATGCGACCGTTCTCTCTAGTCCACCCCCTCTCCATCTTCTTCCCCGCGCGGGAGCAGCAACGGCGCGTGGCGACGGCTTGAGGTGAAGCATCTCCCCAACGCGGTTCCTCTCCTGTTTCTTGCCCAAAAGCACCGAAAAGCTGACGAAATTATCCGGCCCTCTGCAGGGGTCGCGGCGCTCTACCGGGATACGGTCCTGTCCGAGCTGGCACAAATATACTCCTTGGAAGGGGTGAGATCACGCTCCACGTTGGAGCGTTGGGCATGGCCTAAGTTTCCCACTAAAGCTGGTCTTTTCAGTTTGGGCCTGCTCAAATTAATTTATGAGACAGGCCGGCCAACAAGCCCAATGGGCGACTACGCCCATCCCTACTATCTTCCCCCACTAACGTGCAGCCTGTTTATTTGGCGATTGTTACTGCTACATCCGTTTCAGGTTATAAAACTTTCTAGCATTGTCCATATTCATATTGATTTTAATGAATTTAGACATACGTATGAATATGGGTAATGATAGAAAGTCTTATAATATGAAACGGAGGAAGTACTTGGTTCTTTGTAATTGTGACTTTGTGCATCTCCCTAGCTTCTAGGTGCAATGAATGATCAGTAAATTGTTCCATTATGAGTAGTAGAAAAGCCTATTTGATTGTCAATCCCTTAAAAGTACAGTAAGTCTTACACGTTAACAAGATTTGGTGAGTCCAAACTCCGAAGAATTTATTAATTAATGATTTATTTATTTATTATTATGAGCTAGATAAAGATTAAAGATTTTCCTTTTATTTCATCTTTGCTATAATATTTTCCTACTTCCGTTTCATTTTATTAGTTGCTTTGACTTTTTCTCTAGTAAAATATTTTTAGATTTAACCAAATTTATTAAAAAAGATAGTAACATTTATAACATCGAATTAGTTTCATTAAATATAACATTCAATATATTTTAATAATATTTTTTTGTGTTAAAAAATATTACTATATTTTTCTATAAACATAATCAAACTTAAAAAGTTCAACTAAGAAAAAAAGTCAAACTGACTTAGTTTAGAAGAGTGTAGGTAAGGTTGGCTGATTAACTGCTTCGCAAGATTTTTTTTTCTTTTTATCTTTTCTATATCTAATTCTTCTTCTTTTTAATTTTCTTTGTTTGAAGAGTCTGTTACTATTGTGGCAGTGTTGGTTCATTCATCCGGGAGTGCGTCTCAAATTATTCTATCCACCCAAATCACAGTGTGAATGCCACACATGACATGATGGGAGGTTGGTAACAAACTTGTGGAAACCAGGAGTCTAGGGAAAAAAAAAAACAAAATCTTCTCACTGAAACAAAAACGTCGATTATATATAGTTGGGTTTATTCTTCTTATCGATCAACTTATTGTGACACATTCCTTAGCATGGAATTCATACATATATATACCAAATTACCAATCCAGAGGCATACAAAAAAGATGATGAAAATTAAGGAAAGCACACATACACACCCAGGAAAACCTGATCAACTACTCGTCAATGGACTTGCAACACGAAAAGATCTTTATTATAAAATCATTTCATCTTTATCAATCGCTTGAAGTTAACCGGCGCAGTGAACCGGGCAGGGCCATCGTAAAATGCAGAGGCGGCTAGCTTAGCAGCCCGCTCAGTCGTGTAAGAAAGATCCCAAAACCAGTACTGCTTGCGGTTTTGGCAGGGTGGTTCATGTTCAGGTGTGCAGGGGGGAATACAGCATGTGCTGTTGATGTTCACAAACCCTGCACATACAAGATATAACCACAATAAATACATTAGATAAACAAGGACAAGTAGCATTTCCATGGTTTGTGTTACAGTCCATCTCATGATCCTCTATCCCAACCACAAAAAAAGTGTTCAATAATTTCGATTGACTTACCGTAAGCCCGAGGGTTCATGAAGGTGGCATTTGAGAATGCGTAGAAGTCGGCGATGGAGTAGGAGAGACCACTCAGCTGAGAGCTGAGATTGGAAAAGAGGGGCTTGAGGCCATCGTTGAATTCCCTAGCGAGACTGTTCATGGAGTCATTGCAGTCGACATTGTTTTCCAAGTTCTTCCTCATCCATGGCTGACACCCTAAGGGCTGGATGTTGATGATCCCAAACTTCCTTGCACCCAGGCCATACAACTGCATGATTATGGCCTTGTAGGAGGAAAGTGTATATGGAATGTTGAATGGTGATGGCTTTCTGGAATATCTTAATACTCTCCATATATTTACAGACAGATCCATGGTACCAATGCTTATCAGGAATAAAGATTTGGCCAACAGCTTGCTCAACTTCTGGTGGCCTAGGTTAGCCTCCATCTGGCTTACCGTGTCATTGAAGTTCTTCACTTGGTACACGAATGGAATCGTTGCTTCATCGTTCTGCATATTCACAATATAGCATCAATTAAGGTTATTTCCAGGGAAAACCCAGTATTTTATCTGTTAAATAACCATCAAATGTTTATTAACACTTTGATCTTTCATCTTGCTAGCAGATCTGATCACTCATATTCTTAGCATGCGTATATATAGTATAACCAAGAAATTCATCAGTTTGTGGTAGCTACTTTTCATCATAGATTTCAATATCCTATATAAAATGTTGAGTTACTACAAAGTCAAAATAAGCTCTTGATCTACCGACTAAATAATATTGGGTATAATTTTCCTGATAGCAAAGAGTAACGAACAAATTGAACGAAGACATGTATAATTGTAGATTGCCCATGAAATGGCCCAGCGAACTATCAGAAGTTGACAGTCAGAGATGATATTATATTGATATAAAATTTTCCTTATGTCACTGTCAGAAATTTTTTGAAAATTACAATGCCGACAAGATATCTAGTCACATGTTACTCTCTTCTTTCATTTGCAATTTCCAATCATTAATTAACCATCATGAAAGATCATGCTTCTGATAATTAGTGATATAGATATGCAACAATTCAAATATGTTTATATGACCAACTTGGATATATAATCACCATTTCTTGATGCCATTGCCATGGCAGCATTCACAATTAATATTATGGTTGAATTTGCATTTAAGCATATATTCTGGAGTTACCATGATGATCTGAATGCCAGCACCTGCTGAAGCATAGTTCACTCCGGTGAAATTGGTCTCCATTTTTATCGAACTGTTAAGCGATAGATAAGCTGGAGGGCTCATTTTGAATCCCATATCCTTTGCTGCATGCATAGCACACACCAATTAAAGTTGCATGCATATACCAAAAATTAACTTGGGTATTTTTCTCAAATAAAAGAATACTTGATAATATGCACTACCTTTCTCAAATATAGAATCATATATATCAATGTAACAAAGAAATACCATTTGCAAACCAAACATTATGAAATGCTGAATCGTCGTTAGTATTTCTTTATATTCATCATTTTTTTTTTACAAACTACAATAACATTACTACCTTTATTTGCTAATGTCTTCTGAAAGTCAATAGTAGTATAGAGCAACGACCACACTACCAATTAGCATTAATTCATTAATTATTTGTAGTCGTGTTGGGTATATTGTGGGCGATTTATTCTAACTGCTTGAAAACACTTAAAAAATCTTTCGGCTAAAGCAAAAAAAAAAGACTGTATAATAACCATCAAACATCCATCTAATTCACAAATAACTATATGAAAAACTATGACACAGAAAATACAATTTAATGGTGACATAACTGTAAAAGATAATAAGGGCAATATGATCGATCAAGTCGCTTAATTACCAATGAAGTCAGCCATGTTGTATCCATTACTGAACCTTCCAGTGGGCTCAGAGCCAGGGAAGTCGATGCCATAGTAGGGGTAGTCAGCCTGGGGGGCGTCAGACGGCAAGTAGTTGTTGTTGCCAACGTCCAGCATGCCGTCCCCGAACACGAAGATCGCCGGTACAGCCGTCTTATGGCCTTCAGCAGAGCCAAGCACTTGAAAGGATGCTATTATCACAAGGCTTAGAACTATGATCCTGAAGTGCCCCATCATCATCACCAAACAAGCCAATTAAAACTCAGGAACACTACTGCATATGTTATTTATACAGCATTCATGTAGAATGTATATATATGATTGAACTGACGATTGATAGGAAGTAAAAGTGCAGTTAGCTAGCTAGCTATTTATATGCACAAATTAAGTGTCAACTATGTTATCAAAGTCCATGGTCTTAATTAAACTGATGGTATGAAAGTCAAAGTCAAGTATTGAGATATGACGCTTATTCAGTAATTCCTATCACATGGCTCATGCTTCGTAGTTAAAAGTCGGCAACCTCAAACCTTTTAAAAGCTAAGTCATATAGCTCTACTCTCAATCTCTTGGCCTACGTAGATTTTTTTTTTGATCTTGCCTAAATAGAATTTTTAGCTGTACGACTAATAGTACTTGTCTAGTTGCAGTTGATTTATTCAGGGTAAGCGCATGGGCTAATTAAATTAAAGGTGATCAATACATCCACTGTGAGCTGAGTCTTTCTAGCTGAAAGAAGCAAGGCATTTACAGTTTTGGAGGAAGTCAGCAAGGTATGGCTGGAGAGTAGTGCTGGGAGAGCAAATGCATACACAATAGCAGACTATGAAGTTTCTATATGTAGCCTACCTTCAATTGGATGTGTTCTATATATGTCCCTGAACATCTATATAGTAGTTGAGATTTATAATTTTCATTCAACGAATGCCTAAGATTCTTAAGCCAGTAGGAGCATGCTTGGGAGTTGGGTAACCCAACTATACCAGTGAAATAATAGCCCCCCATTACTGAACATCCACGGCTAGATCAGTGGAGTAAGGTGCATTACTGATCCAAAAAATGGGTATTGTCGTATTGAGCATTGCATCAGACATTGAATTTCAGATTGAAACATCAATTTGGAACTACAAAAATTGATAAATCGATTATAAATTCGTAGCATTGATCATCAAAATCTCGGAATAGAATATCAAATTGAGGTGGAAGTAGCAGCCTCTTTACAAGAATTCAAGAGCACATAAGGCAACTATGTCAACAAGAGCTCGATAATTTGTGCAGACAATCTGATGAACAAAGCTTGAAATCCCTAGATTTTAATAAAACGTAACACGTCGGCTTAGCTGTCCATGAATCACACTTGAGCACACAAGAAAAACAAATCGCAAGATGCTTCAACCTACCACCAGCAACCGAGGGTGTTTGCAGAAATACTGATGATGCATCATCTCCTCGAGCTGCTTGGAAAGAAAGCGACGCGACGGCCGCCGGAGATGTGGGGAACGAGAGGTGGAGGCGGAGAGGCCGGCGCAGGAAGAAGGAGAGCGAGGGAAGCGCGGCCCTCCCCCCGGCGGTGGCGGCCGGCCGATGACATCCCATCCCCCCGCCACGGTGGTGGCGTGGCGGCGCAGACCGAAGGGGAGGGCGGCGCGGTGGTGGTGAAGACGGTGTAGAGAGAGAGAAAGGAGGAAGCTCGACGACGGCGGCACACTTGCTTTCCGGCAGAATGGGCCGAAATACAGGGACAAAAGGGCTTATTTACCGGCTTACGGCCCAATCCAACAGTAAGCCGGCGCAGCCTCGGCCCCTCGGCCTCGCGCAGAGAAAGCCAACATAAAGAGAGAGAAGATCAGATCAGAAGACGCGATCGAGGAGCGACATTGCCGCGTCGCCGCCCAAAACCCTAACCCCCTCCTCGTCTCCTCCTCACGCGAGTCGCGATGTCGCGCCATCGCCGTCCCGCCGACACAAGCCCGCAGGCCGCAGCCGCAGCCGCAGCCGCCGCTTCTTGCAGTGCAGCTTGCCGCTTTCCAGATTGCTTTGCTGCCATCGAGTACTGCCGAGGAGAACGATCAGTAAATTCAGGAATCAGGACTCGGAGTGGTATGTTTTGTGTTCAGGTGAGTGAGTCAATTTCCTAAATCTCAAATTCCCAATTGCCATAAGTACATGTGAAAAATTGATTCAGTTGCAGTTGTTCCCTAGGATTGAATGTTAGGTTAATTATTTAAGGGAGTACCTATGCATCTTTTAAAAGATTTTTACGATCGTATCAGACAGATTTTTAATCTTTAGATTAAAATCCAATAGACACAGTAAAAGGCAAAAAGCAACTAAGAAACACCATAGTAGACACTAAATTACCATATCTTTAAGAAAAAGACCAAATCCAATACAAATTTCAAAACTTACATGCGAAGATTCAAAAATTACACTGTAACTTACAAAAGTTACAATGTAAGTTTCATAAATTACATTATAACTTACAAGAAAAGAAAATGTACTGTAAATTTAAGTGAGAAAATCGAGTGAGAGATAAGAAAAAATCTTTCGAGTGAGATATAGCAAAATCGATTATTTAATTAATTCAATTGATGTTGCTCCTAGAGTTGGACGAATCGACGAAGGCCCTGACTGCACTATTGTGCTGCACACATGTACATTATAAAAAAGAAAAGGTTAAATGGTTTGATAACTTTATGCATTGAGAAGAAATTATTGGATGAAATTGATATTGGTACCATTATCAATGACTTCGCAGCTAGAAATGTCAGAAGAAATTTTCGAGGTAAATGTTCAATGTTTCCTATATAAATATTATTGATGAATGCAATTTAAATATTTATGACCATAATTCAATATATATATCTATTGATTATTATTATATCGTATGATAAGGGCCTTTATATCTAGTTTCACACCGGGGCTCTGAAAAGTCAGGACTAGCCCTGCCTACTCTAGGAAGGCCTTGTCATCTCCCCTGATTCCTTTCTCTTTATCACGGAGGCAACTGATGTATGCATCCATCATATGAATTTGAGGTTAGTTCAGTTACATTACAAATATAGTTATAAAAGGAAAGTAGGTTTGTTAAATAGGCGAACTTATATCGTCATTCAAGTATTCTGGTTCTGTTAGTACTTTCATTGATTTCCGATTAACCTTCACTCCTTCAATATGCACCATCACTTTGTTATCCTTTGTTTTATTAATGTAGGTAATGAAATGGTCTTCTTTTTTAGTCAACTCTTCAAAGGTCGTACAAATTATTAATATGGAAACATACAATCTATAATAGATCTATACAAAAGTACAATGTTTATTACCTTTAGAATTTTTTATCGGTGTCTGCCTATTCGCTTTCTTTTCTTTTGACCACGTAAGGCGTTCTTTGGTGGGCTTTTGTGTATTTTTTTTAGTAAGATCATCCTTATCGATGTATACTACAAAAGGGTAAGTCAAATCAGTAACACACAAACATAAAATAGAAGTAATAAAATTTAGGATGATGTAGAGAGTTCACACATTCAGATATTTTCTTTGGTGTTTGGTTGTTTTGTTTCCTCTTCTTTTCACCCTGTAATTAGTCTGTCTGGCATGATAGCTTCTTTTTCCATTCGCGCTTGAAAAGGAGGAAAATTAGTACCATTCACATGAGCATATGTAAGGATGAAATAGCATAGTACTGTGTTATTTTTGTTGGTGTTTGGGTTCTGATTTTGTCCTTCTTTTTACCCCTTGATTCGTAGATGAAGTTAGTCTGATTTGTTGGTTTGTATGTTCTTCATGTAGAACCTATAAGCCTCTTGTTGCTTTGATTGCACTCGTTACTGTCCTTATGTTAGGTCATGTTCACGTTAGTATTATGATAAGTTGTAGTAACGTTAGCGAGAGAATTTTAATTCACTTTACCTCCGTTTCACAAGTCGTGTTAATGTTTGGATTTATATAGGCCTCTTCGTGATGATTTGATACAGGCTCTCTGGGATCACTTTGTTCTTGTTCCACATCCTACAATAGTCAACTTTTTTTTATTTTTCTAAAATAAACCGTTCCGCTATATTCTATAAGCGATTGACCGAAAAACCATGGTTTTTTAAAATCGACCCGCTCCGGACGGTCCCAGATTCCATATATAGATTTTTTTTTCCTGAAATTAACATAAAAAAGAGAAAAATGCATCGCTCCTGGTCGGGTTGAGGCTGATAGGAGTGGATGCGGCGGCGGTCACGTAGCACCCTAGGTTTGCGGCGGATAGGGGCGGATGCGGCCGATGTCTCGTACCTCCTGCGGATCTCGGTGAATAGGAGCGGATGTAGCCGCGGTCCCATACCTCCTGCGGATCTCGGTGAATAGGAGCAGATGCGGCGGCCATCCCTTACCACCAGCGGCTTGCGGCGCTTGCCTGCCACGGGCGGCTTGCGGGGAGTTCATTAGCAATGCCTAAATCGTGCGGAGGTTTGACAGATAAAAAGGATGGACCAGGTGCCCCGATCTGATTTTCATTCATCAATACTCCTATTTCTTTCTCCACAAATCTCATCTTCCTAGCACCGACCTTCAAGAAATAGGAAGATGAGATTCGTGGAGAAAGAAAGGGGATTATTGATGAATAAAAAACAAATAGGGGTACCTGGTCCATCCTTTTTATCTGTCAAACCTCCCCACGATTCAGGTGTCGCTAATGAACTCCCCGCAAGCCGCCCATGGCAGGCGAGCGCCGAAAGCCGCTGGTGGTAGGGGACGGCCGCCGCATCCACTCCTATTCACCGAGATCCACGGGAGGTATGGGACCGCGGCCGCATCCGCTCCTATTTGCCGAGATCCGTGGGAGGTACGAGAGCTCGGCCGCATACGCCCCTATCTGCCGCAAACCTAGGGTGCTACGCGACCACCGCCGCATGTGCTCCTATCAGCCGCAAGCCGACAAGGAGTGATGCATTTTTTTCTTTTTTATGTTAATTTCAGAAAAAAAAAATCCATATATGGAATCCGGGACCGTCCGGACCGGGTCGATTTTAAAAAACCATGGTTTTCCGGTCAATCGCTCATAAAATATAGCGGAACGGTTTATTTTGGATAAATAAAAAAAAGTTGACTATGGCAAGATGTTGAACAAGAACAAAGTGATCTCAGAGAGCCTGTATCAAATCATCACGAAGAGGCCTATATAAATCCAAACGTTGACACGACTTGTGAAACGAAGGTAAGGCAAATTAAAATTCTCTCGCTAATGTTACTACAACTTATCATAATACTAACGTGAACATGACCTAACAGGAGGACAGTAACGAGTGCAATCAAAGCAGCAAGAGGCTTATAGGTCCTACAGGAAGAATATACAAACCAACAAATCGGACTGACTTCATCTACGAATCAAGGGGTAAAAAGGACATAATCAGAACCCAAACACCAACAAAAATAACACCAGGTACTATGCTATTTCATCCTTACATATGCTCATGATTGGTACTAATTTTCCTCATTTTCAAGCGCGAACGGAAAAAGAAGCTATCATGCCAGACACAGACGAATTACAGGGTGAAAAGAAGAGAAAACAAAGCAACCAAACACTGAAGAAAATATCTGAATGTATGAACTCTCTACATCATCCTAAATTTTATTACTTCTTTTCTATGTTTGTGTATTACTGATTTGACTTACCCTTTTGTAGTGTACATCGATAAGGAGGATCTTATCAAAAAAACACAAAAGCCCACCAAAGAACGCCTTACGAGGTCAAAAGAAAAGAAAAACGAACAGCCAGACACCGATAAAAAATTCTAAAGGTAATATCTAAACATTGTACTTTTCTATAAATCTATTATATAGATTCTATGTTTACATATTAAAAATTTGTACGACATTTGAAGAGTTGACTAAAAAAGAAGACCCTTTCATTACCTACATTAATAAGACAAAGGATAACAAAGTGATGGTGCATATTGAAGAAGTGAAGGTTAATCGGAAATCAATGAAAGTACTAATTGAACCAGAATACTTGAATGATGATGTAAGTTCGCCTATTTAACAAACCTACTTTCCTTTTATAACTATATTTTTAATGTAACTGAACTAACCTCAAATTCAGGTCATGGATGCATACATCCAATGTCTCCGAGATAAAGAGAAAGGAATCAGGGGAGATCGCAAGGCCTTCCTAGAGCAGGCCATAAAAACAGGTCTACTCAATGTAGAGGGAGCGCATGTTGAATCTAACAACCCTCGTGATAAACGATGGATTAGAGATATGGCATGCGACTAACTACCATTTGACATGGTAATACTTATTTAAGCTATGTATGTAATGGCTATTACAATTTATGAATGTATCTTACTGTTGAACATCTGCAGATTTTCCTCCCAACTAATATTACAGAAACACACTGGTACCTAGCCATTCTTAATGCCAAGCGACGTGAGGTGCAAATACTAGATTCGCTTGCCAAGCCAATCAATGAACATCGACCCGAACTAGGGCGTGTGGTAAGTGATACACTTCCACTTGCACAATTCAAATTGGTTTTGCCATGTTTTAACCATACTGATGTTGCACAAAACTTCCTACCTGCTAGCTATCGAGAGAGGATTACACGGGACAAAGAATGAACACCCACAGTTAAAACATGATTGGCTTGATTTTGTTATTACCAAATGGGAATACAACAAAGTCAAAAAATTGCTAAAGCAAGGAGACAAGTGGGTGACCCGTAAACTCTTCCACATGATATTCACATTTTTCAATTATGGTAACTTGTTAACCTAATGACTCAATTCTTGTAGCGTCTCGTGTGGCCTATACACCCTTAAGTTCATGGAGCATTGGAGTGGATCTTATCTCCCAGAAAATCAAATACAGGCAACTACAATAAACTCTATTCATATTTTGCACCAATGCTTCCCATTATGAAAACCATTTAAAATGCACTCCCTTTACATTAGAGAAAATTCCTATATACTCCTGAAAATTTACTCAATCCCTTCAATACCCCTGAATTTGACCTCATTCCTTATATACCCATGAGTTTTCATTTTAATCTTCTCTATACCCATCTCCATTAGTTGACCATTAGTTGACCGTTAAATATTTTACAACGACTATATTACCCATCCTATACATATGTGGTACCTACTCAATAAATTTTCATATGAAAAAAATTAACTTATACAAAATACAAGCAATATAATCATTTAATGCCCAACTTAAAAAATAAAACTTATTATTTTTTATTTTTTAAAAAATATGATTAAATCCATACATTAGTTTCACCAGAAAATTAAGAGCAAAAACTAAATTTTATTTAGGTTTAAATTTTTGGGAAGATATACGAAATTCATCAAATTTGATCTGAAATTTATTTAAAAATTTTAAATTTGTTTTCTAATTTGTGACAAACTAATTACATCCCCTTTATTTTTTCACAACGAATCTTTTTTCACTAAATATTTGTTGAAAAGTAATTTTCAAATTTTATGCAGAACTTTTTTTACAATAAATCTTTTTTATTTTAATGAAATAATGTTTTATTTTTAAAAATTCATAACAAATATTTAGTAAATTATTCCTTATTGGTTTTCACAACTCAAATAATTTACACAAAACGTTTCTAGCTTTTAACAATATACCAATGACAATAAAGTAATTTCTACAATAACTAACGGTCAAACTAATGGTCAACTAATGGAATGGGTACGTAAGGGATCCAAATAAAAATTCAGGGGTATATAAGAGATCAAACAAATTTCAGGGGCGTAGAAGGGATTGGGTGAAATTACAGGGGCATGTAGGGAATTGGACCTTTACATTATGCAGAAGGATATGAAAATATTTCGACAGGACTTAGCAGGAATTTTGATCAAGTCCGAACCGAACAAGATTAAAGACTGTCCACTACTACAAACCACGATATAATTACCTTACTATGCTCTCTTCCACTTATTACAGATTTTAGATACTCCTTGAGTATTTCATTGGTCCCAAACGTTGTTGCATTTTGAGTTAATTTTCATAGTTCAGATTTTGCTACGTTGGGGTCACAGACAGTGAAGCACACACATAAGGCTCATGAAATGGAAAGCCACAACAAATCCGATAGCCAAATAACAACGATCATTCTATTCATGGTCGTAATAGTAATGAGAAGGAGCAGTATATAAAACCTTACGCTTCGGGATGACTCATGGCAGTAAGCTGTCCGCGTCACTCACGTGCATCTGCTTCTACGTCGCACCTATACACCGAGAACCCCTTTGCCGGCATGCAGATCCCCTTCACGCACGCCACCGTCTTGCATACTGACCCTGCTCCTAACAATTCAACCAAAATAATCAAAAAACAATACAATGGTTTGAAGAACGAGCAGCCATTTTCTGCAATAATCGGGAGAAAGAGTAGGCTTTTAGAGGGGCTCACACGGGAGATGAAAACTTCAGGGAGGGCCACCATTGGTCGTCAACGAAAATACGAGGAGCAGCTCCATAGCTGCTCCGCCACAGCCGCATACCACCGGCGAATCGCCACAGCCACACCCGAGGTCGCTGGAGGCGGAGGAGGCGGATGGGGCAGAGGGCCGTGAGGGCGCTGGAGGCGATGGACGCGGCGAGGGAGATGGTCGGGCGATGGAGGCGATTAATGGCGTCGAAGGAGGCGGCGAGGGTAGGGTAGGAAGACGGCGGGGGAGGCAAGGGCATCGAAGGGGGAGGAGACGCCAACGGCGTCGGAGGTGGAGAGGGTGGGGCCGACGGACGGCGACGTAGGGGGCGGGAAAGGCGGTGAGGGCGGGGGAGACGGACAGCGACGGAGGGAGCGGAGAAGGCGGCGAGGGCGGGGGAGGCGGACGGCGACGGAGGGGGGCAGAGAAGGCGACACTGGCGGAGGATAGGACGGCGACGGAGAGGGCGGAGAAGGCGGCGAGGCCAAGGGAGGCGGCGGTGCTGGAGGGGACGGAGACGGCGAGGGAGAAGGATCGGCGATAGAGGCGGTGAGGGAGATGGACGGCGACGGAGGCAGGGATGGAGGGGAACGGACGACGGAGGAGAGGGATGGAGGGGAATGGCGTCGATTAGGATAGGATAGGGAGAGGGTGAACAGTTAGATAATGACAAATTACATAATACCCTACGCGAATTATTATCTCTGGACAAATATACCCCTCCACATTTCTACTCTCATTAAATCTGGTGGGAGTATAACTATATCTCAACACTACGATTAAATACGATCAACGGTTCAGATTAATTTTACTACAAGTATAAAGCACCGGAACGAGACTCTTCCCAACTATATTGTATTTCTGTGTATAACTCCCAACAGATGGTTTGGTTTATGTAGAAAAGGTACATACATATTTATGGCTCGGTAGAGCACGGATCGAAGGACGGAATGTTTGACTACTTACAAATCTTGTCCAAATAACCGCATATGCTGAAGCATAGTTGATGCCGCTGAAACCCGCATCTACTTCGATCAGGCTATTATTAAGCGACAGAAAAGCTGGAGGGCTCATCTCCAACCCCATAGCCTTTGCTGCAACCACACAAAAAAAAATCATATTACCATGCATGTCTTGACACAATTAACTGATAGTTTGATACGAGATGATATTTGTGTCGAGGGAACATCCGTCGTTTTGTGCCTGTTGTTTAAAACGTCATATTTTTCTTAAAAAAATTGACAAGATAGATTAATATGGGAATGTATCACTTTATAAACATATAATTCAGCATATATAATTAGAGAAAACAACAAATTTAGCAGTGAACTGTATGTTCTATTTAGAGTCAAATTTATTTTTTTCTACATATATAAATTGAATTTGAATAGTGATATATATCACCGATTTATTTTTTTAAAACACGGTACAAACGCATGCGATATATATCACAATAGTGATATATATCACCGATTTATTTGATATATATCACAACGTGCGCGCTCACCTCTATAAATACACACACAAACCCTACCCTTATAAGTACCTCCGATATATTTTGTTAATATTTCTTTTGATGATTTTCATGAATCTATTCTGTTAATATTTTTTTTGATGATTTTTAAAGCAATACTTAAAAATGAAGAGATGCAGATGGCGGACACAGAAAAAAAACAAGTGTTGGGTGTACCCACATATGCCAATTAAAAGAAAATATATGTCTTTATGCATACAAACACAAATAAGCCTCAGACGCTTATACGGAGTACATAACAAAAATTGTCAGATAGAAGATATAACTGCAACTATTTATGTAATGAAAGATATAAATTAAAGAATTTGTCAAAATATAGCTAGAATCTGAATTCTTTGGTGCTCACTAAAAATAAACACTAGGCACTGCTCTTGTTCACATACCTTTGCCCACTCAACTTAATTTAAGAACAGAAATCACAAAATAGTTTCAGTTTTCAGTAATTTAGTTTGAGGGAAACTGGGACTAAGAGATGAAAGTGCAAATATGAATAAGTGGAGGATATATAGCAATTGTGCGCTTCTGCTTGTTGAGTAAAGACAGTTGCACAGCTTCTCCCGCTTGGCAATACATCATCCTTCTGGTCGTCACCGGCGCTACCCCTAAAACTCTGTCGGCACTCAGCAGTTCACCACGCGCGCTCGCACAGGCACTATTACTTGTTGCTACTCCTGGCTTTAATCCTTAAAATATAAGGTAATTTGAAGAGAGATGTGGCAAATCCTAGCATTATAAATCTGGACAGCCGCTTATATATTTTAGGATGGAGAAAGTACAACTTTGTTTAACGCTTACAACCAGGTCTGACCTGCTGTTCTGGCATGTGCCTAATAAGCTATTATATACTCCCTAAACCCAGCCGCTTATATATTTTAGGATGGAGAAAGTGCAACTTTGTTTAACGCTTACAACCAGGTCTGACCTGCTGTTCTGACATGTGCCTAATATGCTATTATATACTCCCTCCGTCATAAAAAAACGAATCTAATACCGGATGTGACATATTATAAAAAACGAATCTAATACCGGATGTGACATACTATGGTACTCTCTCCTTACAAAAGTCTAAGTCATTTCTTTTTGCACCAAGACCAAAAACAATTAATTCATTCACCCGAGACAAAACCAATGAGCATGTAACCGATAAACACTAAGGAGCTGTTTGGTTGGGCTGTTTTCGGCCCGTATCAGATACCAGCGTGAATTGATTCCCTTACATCTGTTTGTTTTAGATGGACCGTAATCGGTTAGCCCGCAAACGAATCCCAGCCCAATACAAAGTTGATTACGCTCCAGATCGGGCGTTACGCGTTACCGATACGGAGGCGGAGCGGAGCGAACGTGACCTAGCCTTGAGCGCCGCCACCTTGCAGCGCACCGTCGCTGGCGCCGCTCCCCCTGCCCGGCGTGCGTCGTCGACACCGCTGCCCCCTGCCCCGACGCCGCTGCCCCTCCCCTCGCACGCTCCATGACCGCCCGGAGATTGCCCGCCTCGACAAGGCCGACAACCCACTGCTCTGCTACCTTCAGTCCCTCCTCCATCTCCCTCGAGTTCCACATCCCTGACGACTGGATCTGCGAGAAGGACGAGGCTGTTGAGCATCAAGAAGGCATGGCAGAGATCTTGAGGCACACGAAGAAGGCACCAGCCACCAAGGAGGTTCTTCTGTCGTTTCCGCCGTCGCCGGTGAGAACCCTCCCCTCACTGATACCACCACTCTTTATGATGATATACTTGTGATGCTGATGATTGATGATCTTTTTCTTTTCATTAACAAATCATGAAGTAGTTTATACTAGTGAATCATTTGTATTCTTGATTGGTTGCATGTATTCCTGCCTCAGTTCTGTTTGCTTTATAAGTTTACATGAGTTTTGTAGAATCTGTTTTTCCCGATTGCAGGAAAAATCTGGAATAGTAGTTGATGGTTCTTTCATATTTGTTTTCGAGTGTAGGTAAGTTCCGAAATTTTGTCGGACCAACTCATTTTACTCTCTAGATTTTGAGAATTTTGATTTTCATTACTGCCAGGTGATATATTATTTTGCAGAGTGTGAGATTGGAAAAAAAAAGGTTTGTCGTGCATTGCCTTTTCGACAGAATTGTCATCTTGCACATATATAATCAATTTACTTATGTTTCGCAGCATGGACTGTTCCAAACCAATCTACTCGCTGAATCTGAGTCTACTAATCTAGTAGTTTCACTCATGTCAATTGTTCATCCATATATTTCCTCAGTACTTTATTTAGACAGATCACAATGTATCCTCTTGTTGTTTAGTTCATTGAACTTCTGAAGTTCTCACTCCCAGCATGGGTCTTATATTTACTCTTGAGTATTCGGAAGCTACATCTACAAGATCTTGTTCAGAGATCTTCCAGGATGATGCTAGGCTGATATTAGATACAAATTCAAGAAACTAGCTGCTTTCAAATATTTGCATGTCAAAATGGATCCGATATTTACTCTTGAGTATTCCGAACCAAACACCACCCTAGCTTGAGATCGTTGGATCGAGATTGAACTGTTGGAGTTCCACTGCTCTCATCGTGATCCTTCCACAAGGATTCAAGTGCCAATTATTGCTTATCTCATGACTGCTGCGAAAATTAGTCTCGCGGTGCAGCTATTTACTTGTTGGTTAACTGCCTATATATCTGGTATGTGCATAACTGTCCCATGGGCAATTTATTTCTTTACTTGTTATATTCCAAAAACTTTGTTAGCAAATATTTTTTTTGCAGCTGCTGTTGACATTGTTCAACAAATATTTGCTCTACTTTCTGATTAGCATTTAATTTTCTCTTGTCCAGGAAGTTGACTTCAGATGGCCCTGCTTTCCATTTTCTTTTAAAATTCACTTTGCAGAAGCAAATGGAGGGTAAATTTGCAGGTGAGCTAACTTATATTTCATGAAAAGTGTATGATTGGAAACCATAGAAACTATTCCACTTGTTACCAATTGCATAAGTGGAACACATATTTTTGGGTTTCGTGCTCTCCTTTAAACTCACAGTGGCATCTTTTATTTCTTTTAATGTAGAAGTAACATTATAAATTGGATTCCTTGCATCTTTGTTTGAGCATGAGAACATATTTACATGCATGTGTGCTTCTTAACTTTGGAGTCAATGCCCTTTTTAGAATGAAGCGAGGACCTGCCCGATTATTCACTTTCAGTAGTTTCTAGATGCATGTTGTCCAATTATATCACTTGAATTCTAAAGCCACATGACCTTTTCTTGAATTATTCCTGTACATGCCCTAGCTAGAGTGCTACCACTATCCATAATTTCTACTTGAGATTATTAAACTGATGTTCACATTTTCAAGACTGTATACACTTCCCAATGTGTGATAGTATCAAACAGTTGCATGTTATAAAATTGTGAATATTTTTACATAGCTTTGATGTGCTACACGTGTTTGAGAACACTGCTGCTATGTAGCTTGTAATGTGCCTTAGCTTTGAGCTACGTCACGTTCTAAGCGCTCCCTGCTTCGGAAGCAGCCGTTACCCGTTACCATGTTCCATCCAAACAATGTAATGCAAACATGAGACGTTACAGCGGCCAACCAAACAAAACCTGTAAAGTGATACATTTTCTTCCCTTACTGCTGTAGCTGATCCCATTTACGTTTGCATTTCCTGACCTCAACCAAACACCACCTAAAATGGCTTCTTGGTACCTATCAATAATTTAATTTAGCACATAATGATTACAAATAGGACTAAAATGGCTTTTTGGAAAAATTAAAAAATAAAATAAGTCTTAGACTTTTGGAAGGAGGGAGTACTACGAATCTAGAGATACTACGAATCTAAAGACATGTATATCCAGATTCATATACTGCTAGCTAGAATGTGTCACATTCGGTACTAGGTTAGTTTTTTATGGGTTAGAGGAAATAGTGGACTTAGGCCATAGTGCTAGGGAGTAGCTAGCTGATCCTATTTTTTTTTCAAATTTCTTGGGTACGCCAGTGCACACCTGGCACACCTCCTGAAGAAACGTCATCTCGAAAGATGAATGGACTTTCCTAATTTGATACAATGAATAATCACTAGTACAACAACAATTTTTTCCATACAGCCCAAAAGTGATTTTCGCGTACGGAACTCTGGCCCATCTGCTTTGAAGGGTCTGCATAATTCACTATTTTTCCACGCGTGCGGGCAAAATCGGATTTTTGCGTGCGGGTACTTATATGGTTTCCACGCAAAAAACAAAAATTAAAAAAAATTGCAAAAAATAACCCTAGCCACCGCCAGATCTGGGTGGCCCCCGCTGCCAAATTTGAGCGGGGCTCATCTGCCCGCTGCGTGATCTGTCGCTGCCGCCCGCCACTCGCTATCGGCGCACGCCCGCCGCCCGATGCCTGTCGCGAGGCCGACGAAGGCGGATCTGCTCGCCGCCCGCGGATCCGGCCGTTGAGGGCCCTACAGCGGCGGATCAGGCTATCGCGGACCCTACGGTGGCGGATCAGGCCATCGCAGGCTCGGTGGAGGTGGATCCGCCAGCCACCGAGCCGCCCACTATCGCCGATCGCTCCCTCCGCCTGCTGCCTGCCTCGTGCCGCTCACCGCCTGTCTCGTCCAGTGAGGTGAGAGAGGAGATGAGGTGAGAGAGTGGAGAGGAAATAATGAGGAGAGAAGGTGAGAGAGAGGAGTGGATAAGGATGAAAAATTTTGAAGTGTCGAGAGGGAAATGAGGATGTAACTCAGACTTTAGACAGATCCTTAAGAAGCCCGTCTACAAAAATATATTTTCGCATGCAGCCCCTTAAGAGGTCTGCCTGCAAAAATAGGCTTATTTTTACGTGCGGACCCTTAAGAGGTCCGCCTATAAAAATCGATTTTTTATATGGTCCTCCTAAGGAGCCCTATACGGAAAATAGAGGTTGATTTTTGTAGATGCGAAATTACCGTCTGCAACGTATGTCTCATCCAGAAAAAAAAAACCATTTCTGTAGGAGTGAATACCTCGAGTAGTTAGTACATATAGCTAGCTAGGCCACATGCATATAGTGAAAATAAGTGAATTTAGGGCTGGTTTGATTTTACCAATATTTGGTAATTTCAATAGTGTTTAGTGTCTATTTGGTTTGGAGCAAAATTTTGGCATGCCAAAGAAAATAGGGCATTTCAATAGTTAACTTAGGCTATTTTGGCTTCAATGCAAACACAACTTTACCTTAACAAAATTAACCATACTAAAATTTACCAAACTTTAGCTTTAAAAAAATTGGTAAATCTAATTTAGGCTACAAAACAAACCAGCCCTTAATTACCAATGAAATCGGCCATGGTGTAGCCGTTGCTGACCCTGCCGGTGGCATTGCCACCGGGGAAGTCGATGCCGTAAAAGGGGTGATCGGCGCGGATCGGGTCTCCGGCCTCGGACGACGGCAAGTATTGGTTGTTGCCGACGTCCAGCGCGCCGTCGCCGAACAGGAAGATCGCCGGGACCGACGACCGCCGTGTATCGTTGCAGCCGCCGGCGACGACGGCACCACCAAGAAGCATCACTTGGAAGGTTAACGCTGCCATCGCAAGGAAAGTGCCCATTTCATCCGATCCACTGCCCAACTAGCAATTGTTTATAATTTCTGCAGTAGCGAAGTGTTGGAGCTGCCTGCCCCTATAGCTAGCTAGCTACTTATAAGCACAAGGTTTCAAGTGCTTCATGGATCAAGTATTCGTGTTGATCCGGCTAGTTTATCCTATCTATTGTGGTCTCAAGAGATAATTAAGTCAAGTGTTGATCGACGCCAGATGCATATAATGATTCCTCATCACGCATATATATATGCATAATGCATCCATGATCCATGCTTGCATGGCTGATCGATGTACATTGCTTCCAAGATAAAAAGAATATCTCCTAAAAACTTGAATGCTAATTAAGTCGACGGCGGTCAGCTCAGATCTCTATCCGATCCCTCTCTCTCTCTATATACAAAATCTCATGCCTATAGTGTGTATGTCTGCCAATGAAAGGATCGATTGATGATATGGTCAAGATCAATTGGTTATATGTTTGATTAGTTATCAACCAGCCGATGCCGATCGATTCAAGCAATCCAGGACTGCATGCTACCTGTGCGGCTACAATCACTAATAGGAGAACGATTTTTCTATGCGGTCGAATCTGATTTTCGCATGCGGGTGGTCGGCCCGCATGCAACCAAGGGTCTGCGTGAATCGCGATTTTCACGTGTGGGTGCTTATATCGCCCACACGGTAAAATAAAAATCGGAAAAAAAATTTCAAAAAAAACCCTAGAATCGGCAGCGGCGCCGTTGCTCCCGGCCGCTGCCTCCTCCTCGTCGGCGGCGGCGCCCGCCTCGTCGTTGTCGGCGCCCACCTCCCGCCAGCCTCCTGTCAGCGCCGCCACTCCCGGCCTCCACGCCTCCCACCGCCGACGCCCCTCCCCTCCGTCGGATCTGGGGAGGGAAGGAATGGGAGGAGAGGGGAGCCGGATCCCACGTGAGGGGCGGCCGGCCGCCGGATCCATGCGGGGACGGCCGCCGCCCACCGGATCCCGCGCCTCCACCACCGCCGCGTGGAGGAGGCCGTCGCGCACCGCCGTCGCTTTCGCCGCCGACCTCCACACCCGCCTCGGCAGCGGCGGCGGCCGCCTCCCACCAGCCTCTCGTCGGCGCCGCTTCTCTCGGCCTCCACGCCGCCCGCCGCCGTCGCCATGGGCTGCCGCCGAGGAGAGGAGAAAGGAGTGAGGAGAGAGGAGTGAGGAGTGGCGGAGAAAAACCTAAGGGAAATTAAGGATAGGATAGGACTAAGGACTAGGGGAGAGGAGTGGCGGAGAAAAAGAGAGAGGGGAGGGGAGAGGAGAGAAAGTGGGGGAAATTTTAAAGTGGGTAGAAGGGAAAAGATGGAGCGAGTATTTTCGCATGCGGCTCTCTTAATAGGTCCGCATGGGAAAATCGGCTCATTTTCGCGTGCGGTCCTCTTAAATGGACCGCACGCGAAAATGAGCCGATTTTCCCAGATGCGACGAGTTACCGTCTGCACGCAATCTGAAGGTCCCTGTCCAGGAAAATCGTTTCTGTGGCAGTGAATATTGTGTAGCTGTAAGATTGTTACACGTGCGATCACTGGATGTATGGCCATACGATGGCATATTGGCATATATCATAATATTGCATGTTTAACATATTCACCCATTCAGTTATTCAGCACAAAAGAACCTGTGGTTGTTGCCTGCAGTCGGTGATCAAGCTAAGTCGATGATGTTCTTTTGTGCTGGATAGGTTAGCTTAATTGCGTTCATGACACACGAGATGCAATATTATCTGGACGATGACAAGTAGCATCGGAACACAGAGAAAGACGAGCCGTGATGGACGAATGTCGCACCGTACTTTTTCAAAAACCCTCACATTCTCTAGGTTGTAGGATCACAATTACAATGGATTCTAGGGACCTATTTTCCCAACTACCTGTGCAAGCCAGCAAGCAAGAATTCCAGCAGCCTGATGATCAAGTTAACACAGCACATCAGCTATTGTGCACGCTATAATAAAATGCACCATTAGCAGATTTATGTTTTTTTGGTTTCCAACAAGCTAGTTTAATTGGGATATATCATAGCAACAGGGTTGTAATGTGTTACTCCCTCCGTCCCATAATATAAGAGATTTTAGGTGGATATGACACATTCTGTCTCTGTCTATATAGATTCATTGTACTAGGATGCGTCACATCCACCTAAAATCCCTTATATTATAGGACAGAGGGAGTATCATTTATCATAGCATCGAGGGAGTAATGCATATGTCTTCACTGATCACTTTTCGAGCTAAACTACCAAAAACCGGACTAGCTCTGACGGTCGTCATTGATTTTACTAACGTGCACGGGGAAATTCAATTTTCCATGACGCACTTATCTCAAGGTCAGAAAATTAATTTCCTTGATGTGGATACACCACTCGTCACAATAATTATATTTGATTATTCTGACATGGACAAGGCTGTCGGTGGAAATAATGGATTCACGGTGGCAGTTGCAGCTAATTTCGGTCGTTTGAACCAAATGGTGGGAGTGCCAAAAAAAATTGGTCGCTTCACAACACACGCAATTTCGCTGACATGAATGGACCATCAGTAAATTTGCATGCTAATAAAAGATGGAGAGAAAATTATTAAATGGAGACGTAGTGTACGTCGATGGTAAACAGAAATGTGCAATTTTCACGGAGAGGCGATCATGGGGCGTCCTTGGAGGGGCCCTGGTGATCTTGAAGGCTTGATCTTTTCCCTTGGCGATGGCTGATCTCTCCTTTTCAGATGGCAAATTAATATAGAGTACAGAAAATTGAGGTGGAAGTAGCAGCCTCTTTACAAGAATTCAAGAGCAGAATGGGCACATAAGGCAACTATGTCAACAAGAGCTCGATAATTTGTGCAGACAATCTGATGAACAAAGCTTGAAATCCCTAGATTTTAATAAAACGTAACACGTCGGCTTAGCTGTCCATGAATCACACTTGAGCACACAAGAAAAACAAATCGCAAGATGCTTCAACCTACCACCAGCAACCGAGGGTGTTTGCAGAAATACTGATGATGCATCATCGATCTCCTCGAGCTGCTTGCCAGGGAGAGTGGTCACGTACGGTCCGGAGAGAAGCGCCGGCCGCGGAGAGGGTCCTCGACAAGTGCGTGGCTGCTGCCTGCCGGAATCTCACTCACGCGCGCTGCCTGGAAAAAGAGCGACGCGACGGCCGACGGAGATGGTGGGGGACGAGGTGGAGGCGGAGAGCTACATACGCGGCCGGCGCAGGAAGAAGAAGAGCGAGGGAAGCGCGGCCCTCCCCAGGCTGGTTGGTGGCTCCCCCGGCGGTGGCGGCCGCCGGCCGGTCCATGACATCCCCCCGCCCCGGTGGTGGCGAAGAACTGAAGACGGCGGAGAGAGAGAGGAGGAAGCTCGACGGCGGCAACTTTCTTTCCAGCAGAATGGGCCGAAACACAGCGACAAAGGGCTTATTTAGCGGCTTACGGCCGTCCACAAGAAAATAAAAAGGAAAAAGTACACCTAAGGTCCCTCAACTTGTCATCGAGTTACAAAATCATCCTTAAACTGCAAAACCGGATACAACACATCCCCCAACTTACAAAACCAGTGCAAACTAGGTTCCTAAGTGGTTTTCACTCCAGTTTTGTCTGACGTGACAGCTGACTAAGGGTGGATCCTAGATGTCAGCCTCTACTTCCCCTCCCCTCTCATAATTATAATACTAAATTAGTTTCATCAAATCAATAATTAAATATATTTTCATAATAAATTTGTCTTGGGTTAAAAATGTTACTATTTTTTTTCTATAAACTTGATTAAATTTAAAGCAGTTTAATTTTGACCAAAGTTAAAACGTCTTATAACCTAAAACAGAGGGAGTATTTACTTAAATTTTTTAGTAAGACGAATAATCAAACATGATGTAAAAAAGTTAACATAGTCATATATTAAAAACAAAGGTAGTAAGTATTATTATTGTTGTTGTTGCTATTAATGAGCTAAGTATTTTAGGGAAAAAATTACTACTAATGGGCTAGGTTCTTGGAATAAAATTTCTTACTTGAAATATACGACTTAGTAGAACTAATACAGAGCATGTAGCGCTCTATTTGAGCTAAGTAGCATGTATTGTAACAACTAAAAAAAATACCAACTTTTAAAAATCAACTTATTTTACTTTTATTTCTTCCAACGCTAGGCTTAGTTGGTTGCCGTGTTTTGATCTTCAGAAAATTCCATATGTGCCCACAAGTTTTTCCTCAATCCCTTCTATACCTTTAAATTTTTAAATTTTGCATCATCTCATGTACAGTTGTACCACTGAATTTTTCTTTTTATCCCCTCTTTACCCATTATGTTAGATTTTTATAAAATGAATATATTTCCCTCTCTTATACTTACGTGCAACTTATTTTAAAAACATCAATGTTAATGTGATTTTTTATTTATAATAAAAATCAAACGGGGTAGAATTATTTAATAGCAAATTTAAAAGAAAAACTAAAATGTGATCTCGATCATCTCTGATCAGTGTATTCCCATCAAATTTGCTATTAAATATGTGAAAAATTAGGAGATCTCGATCATCTCCAGTGTATTCCCATCAACCGCTTGAAGTTAAGCGGCGTGGTGAACTGGCGTTCTCCGTCGTAAAATGCAGCTGCTGCCAGCTTAGCGGCCTTCTCCGTGGTGTGCCCCACGTCCCAGAACCAGTACTCCCTCCGGTTCCCACACGGCGCTCCGAACTGCTCATTGCAGGGCCCTTTGCAGCACGCAGCATCAGTGTTCGTAAACCCTGTGTACATACGATGACAAACTAACATTAGGAATGCATCATCATTAAAAAGAAATGCAAGAAGTAAATTGTGACGGTTCACGAATAATCTGACAGATTTTGTCAAGTAATTAAATACCATTAGCCGACGGGTTCATGAAGGTGGCATTGGAGAAGCCGTAGAAATCGGCGACAGAGTAGCGGAGGCCGGGGAGGGAGGAGCTCAGCCCGGCCATGAGAGACCCCAATCCGTCGTTGAACTCCCTCGCGAGGGCGTTCATCCGGTCGTCGCAACCGCCGACGGGGCTGTGGCTGTGCGGCTGCTCCGTCACCGCCGGCGCGCACCCGATCGGCGGGGCGTTGACGACGCCGAACCTCCTCGCGCCCAGGGCGTGCAGTGGCCGGACGACGAGCTCGCCGTAGGAGGCGACGAGGTGCGGGATGTCGGTCTCGTTGTCGGGCGGCGGCGGCGACGGCGACGGCGAGTCGAGTATGTTGGCGATGCGGTAGAGGTCGGAGGTGCCCGCGGAGATGAGGAAGAGGGACTTGGAGAGAAGCTCGGTTAGCTCGTGCTCGGTCACGGTGCCGTTCAGCTCCTCCACGGTGTTGGAGAAGTATCGCACTTGTCTCGGCAGTGATACTGATTCTGCGTCGTCCTGTATGGTGTTTGGGAAAATCAGGCGACTGATAAATAGTAAAATGGTAAATATTTATGAAATTAACATGAGATTCGACTCGTTTTACCTCCATGGAAATATTTCCCAACTGTATTGTTTATGTAAGAAAAGGTCGTATATGTAAGAAAATGTTTGGTTTATGTAAGAAAATGTATATATGGCTTAGGCTATGTTCAGGAGGAGGAGGAGTCCTCTTTGGCACGCAAAATAAAGCACATATTATTACATAATTAATTAGTATTAACTAATTTATTTTTTAAAAATAGATAAATATGAATTTTTAAAACAACTCTCATATATAACTTTTTTTTTAAGAAAAACATACCTTTAGCAATTTGAAAAAAGTGTGCACACGGAAAACGAGGAAGGTGAGTTAGGAAAGTTGGAAAAAGAACTGAGCCAGTAGAACACGGATCGAAGGACGGAATGTTTGACTACTTACAAATCTTTCCAAATAACCGCATATGCTGAAGCATAGTTGATGCCGCTGAAACCCGCATCCACTTCGATCAGGCTATTATTAAGCGACAGAAAAGCTGGAGGGCTCATCTCTAACCCCATAGCCTTTGCTCCAACCACACACAAAACAATATCATATTACCATGCATCTCTTGACACAATTAGTTTATAGTTTGATAGGAGATGATGTTTGTGTCGAGGGAACGCCCCATCGTTTTGTGCATGTTGTTTAAAACGTCATTTTTTTTAAAAAAAATAGGTAAGCTTGATCAATATACGATATATCATAAACATATAACTTTAAATTCAGCCTATATAATTAGAGACAACAAATTTAGCAGTGAATTTTTATGTTCTGTTCAGAGTCAAATTTGCTATTTTGTTTCTACATATATAAATTGAATTTGAACAATGATATATCAACAATCTATTTATTTTTAAGAAACACAGTACAAATACAGGCGCTCACAACGTGCACACACTCACGTCTATGAACACACATGCGAATCCTACCACTATGAGCACCTCCGATCTATTTTATTAATATTTATTTTGGTGATTATCACGAATCTATTCTGTTAATATTTTTTTGATGATTTTTAGGCTATAAGTAAAAATGAAGAGACGCAATTGTGGACACAGGAAAAACTAGTGTTGGGTGTGCCCGCACATGTCAATTAAAAGAAAATATATAAGTCTTTATGCATACAAATACAAATAAGCCTCAGACGCTTATACATAATTAACAAAAATTGTCAGATAGAAGATATAACTGCAACTATGTAATGAAAGATATAAATTAAAGAATTTGTCAAAGTATAGCTAGAATCTGAATTCTTTGGTGATCACTAAAAATAAACACTAGGCACTGCTCTTGTTCACATATGTTTGCTCACTCAACTTAATTTAAGAACAGAAATCACAAAATAGTTTTAGTTTTCAGTAATTCAGTTTGAGGGAAACTGGGACCGAGAGGAAATTGCAAATATGAATAAGTGGATGATATATAGCAATTGTGCGCTTTGTGCTTGTTGAGCAAGGCCCTGTTCTATTCTTCAACTCCAAACTCTAACTTACTCATTTTTCATATATAGCACGTTTTTCAAACTGTTAAATGGTGTGTTTTTAAAAAAAAATCTATATAAAAGTTATTATAAAAGCAAATAAATTTATTTCTTAAATTTATAATAGTTAATACTTAATTAATTAATTAATCAGCTTCTCCCGCTTGTGAATACATCATCCTTCTGGCCATCATCGGCGCTACCCCAAAACCCGTGTCGGCACTCAACAGTTCAGCACGCGCGCTCACACATGTACTGCTACTTGTTGCTACTCCAGGCTTCCGTTCCAAAATATAAAAGATTTTGGGTAGATATGATAAATCCTAATACTGTGAATATAGACAGAGAAGCTGTCTAGATTCATATTACTATGATTTGTCACACATCTACCCAAAATCCCTTATATTTTGAGATAGAGAGAGTACAACTCTGTTTAACACTTAACACTTACAACAGGCCTGACATGCTGTTCTGGCATGTGCCTAATCTGCTATATTGGCTGTGTTTAGTTCCTCCTCTAAATTTTTTTTGACGTATACATACGCACATTTGAAGTATTAAACGTAAACTAATAACGAAACAAATTAGAGATTCCGCCTGTAAATTGCGAGACGAATTTATTAAGCCTAATTAATCCATCATTAGCAAATATTTACTGTAGCACCACATTGTCAAATCATGGCGTAATTAGGCTCAAAAGATTCGTCTTGCAATTTACATGTAAACTATACATTTTTTTCACATTTAATGCTCCATACATGTGTCTAAATATTTGATGTGACGGAATTTTTAAAAGTTTGAAGAGAACTAAACAGAACCATTATCTACTGGACTTAGGCCATAGTGCTAAGGAGTAGGTGATCCAAATTTTTTTTTTCAAATTTCTTGGGTATGCCAGTGCACACTACACCCTTGGGTCCGCTCCCTGAAGAGATGTCATATCTAGAGATGAACAGACTTTCCCAATTTGATACTCCCTCCGTTCCATTTTAATTACAACCATGAGTTTCCGTGTCTAACTTTAATCGTCTGTCTTATTTAGTTTTTTAAAAAAAAATTAAAAAACATAAGTCATACATAGATTACTGTTCATGTTTTGTCATCTAATAATAGTAAAAATATTAATCATAAAAAAATCAAATAAGACAGACGATCAAAGTTAAACATTAGAAACTCCTGACCGTGCTTAAAATGGAACGAAGGGATTATAATGAATAATACCACTGGTAGTTAGTACGTATAGCTAGTTAGCTAGGCCACATGCATATAGAGAAAAAGGAAATGAATTTAATTACCAATGAAGTCGGCCATGGTGTAGCCGTTGCTGACCCTGCCGGTGGCATTGCCGCCGGGGAAGTCGATGCCGTAAAAGGGGTGATCGGCGCGGATCGGGTCTCCGGCCTCGGACGACGGCAAGTATTGGTTGTTGCCGACGTCCAGCGCGCCGTCGCCGAACAGGAAGATCGCCGGGACCGACGACCGCCGTGTATCGTTGCAGCCGCCGGCGACGACGGCACCACCAAGAAGCATCACTTGGAAGGTTAACGCTGCCATCGCAAGGAAAGTGCCCATTGCATCCGATCCACTAGCCATTTTTTACACTTTTCTGCAGTAGCAAGGTGTTGGAGCTGCCCCTATAGCTAGCTAGCTACTTATAAGCACACAAGGTTTCAAGTGCTTCATGCATGCTTGATCGGCTACTTTATCCTAGCTATATATTGTGGCCTCAAGAGATAATTAAGTCAAGTGTTGAGATGCCAGATGCATATAATGCTTCCTCATCACGCATATATGCATAATGCATCCATGATCCATGCATGCTTGCATGGCAGATCGATGTACATTGCTTCCAAGATAAAAAGAATATCTCCTAAAAACTTGAATGCTAATTAAGTCGACGGCGGTCAACTCAGATCTCTATCTCTCTCTCTCTATATATAAAATCTCATGCCTATAGTGTGTATATGCATGCTTATATATCCAGTGAAAGGTTCGATTGATGATATGGTCAAGGTCAATTGGTTATGTTTGATTAGTTGTCAATCAGCCGATGCCGATAGATTCAAGCAATCCAGGACTGCATGCTACGTGTGCGGCTACAATATGTTGAAATTATAAGCGCATAATGATTTAATTTATTCCATAAATAAATCATGACATTGCAGATGTAAACTAGATTGAACGCATCATTAGATCTACACATGTAAACTAAGCAGTAAAACATGAGCAGATCAAATATGCGCAACATGTCGAACACGTACCGAGGTGGCGGAAAGACCGGTTGCTCGGCAGGAACTACTCGCGGTTGCGGACGTCAACGAAGGCGCGCAGCACACGAGCAGAGAGGAAGGCAAGCCGTCACGGACGAACAGGGAGCAGTCGCGCGAAGCATTTCCCAAAAACCTTATTGCCGCCTTCTCCCGGTGCAGGACGTCGAAGGCAGAGGTTCCGGAGACCTGCTCTCCCGATCACCGGTGCATGCCGGCGAGCGGGATGGAGTAGTCTACGAGTGACGGCGCAGTACAGAGTAGGAGGCAAACCCTAGATTGATTTCGCGTGTGTTGCGTGAAGGCGGCGGCTCGGTTTATATAGAAATAGGTCGCTTGATCGGGGCGCCCGCGTAACCAAACCGGATAAGTCGCGCGTAACTTATCCGGACTCCACGCCGTTTTCACGCACCGGATTTTTCGGAATGTTTCAAAACAAAACAAATCCGAATTTCCTGCAGCAAAACAAAACTGCAAAAGGAGACTACATCTGCGCAAGGGTGAGGAGCCAATTTTGCGGACCATTTGACGTGTACGTCGTGCACGCGCGCCGCCTGCCTTGCCAAGCCAGGCGAGGTGAGCGAGCGCGCGTGTTTCCCCTCTTCTCTCCACCACACATGCTTCAAGTGGCTAGGAGGGCATCCTCCCTTTTAAGGAGGTCCCCCTCTCATAGAAAAAGCAAGGTGGTACTAAACTTCACATGCATGCCATCCCATGAGGTGGGCTTTTGTGATTTTCAAAAGAATTAATCTTCGAATGGGCCTTAGCCCATCTATTAATTCCAACAATCCCCCACCAAATCTCAAAATCCCACTGAGATTTGCCTTTTCCAATGTACTGTTTATATACCAGCGGTTCGATGGAGACCGATTAAGGTTAAACATCCACCTAGAACTCCAAGCTACACTTACTCACAACTTGAACAATGGACTACGCCTTGAATTGCAAGTCTTGTGCAAGCAAGTTTCACTCAGAGTCTTATCTGGTACTAGACCGTCTGTAGACTACCCCTCGGGTGGAGCGTATAAGTCATACTCCTAGATCTTTAGTAAGATTCCTAGAAGATTCACCCAAAATCTCTATAGACTGCGACCAACAGTCAAGCTTACAAAGGTGAGTTCTTTCAAGAATGCTCTGCAGGACATCATCTTCGCTAATTAAAGCCAACAGAACTCATTAAGGCATAGCCAACCTGCCTTGCAGCTCACGAGAGTACATGCATCTTCACTTAGAGAGGGTATAGATTGGTACTCTCCTCTAGTTTACTAATGGTTTGTTCTTCCCAGGTTCTAATTCACGGGATCTCCGATCACATAGACTGGGTTACCACCATAGTATAACTCACATGGGTCTCAAACCTATCTCCTACGATGCATTGTCTATCACATTTCGTGATAGTCCCTTCGTGAAGGGATCTGCCAGGTTTCTAGCTGTTTGGATGTAATCCAACGTTATAACTCCGGAGTTTCTCAATTTCCTGACAGACTTCAATCGTCTTTTCACATGTCTAGACGATTTCTTATTATCCTTAGAACTATTCACTTTGACAATTACCGTTTGATTGTCATAGTTCATAAGGACAGCCGGCACCGGTTTTTCAACAATAGGAAGATCCATTAATAGATCACGCAGTCATTCTGCCTCAACAGTAGCAGTATCCAGTACCGTCAGCTCTGCTTCCATGGTTGACCTCGTCAAAATGGTCTGTTTGCAAGACCTCCACGAAACAGCACCACCACCCAGTGTGAAGACATATCCACTAGTGGCTTTTATCTCATCCACATCAGAGATCCACTTAGAATCACTATATCCCTCCAGTACCGCAGGATACCTAGAATAGTGAAGCCCCAATTCCATAGTATCTTTCAGATAGCGCATTACTCGCTCAAGCGCACGCCAGTAATCATCTCCTGGATTAGAGGTAAACCGGCTCAACTTGCTCACAACAAAGGAGATATCAGGCCTAGTTGCACTAGCTAGGTACATCAGCGAGCCAATGATTTGGGAGTATTCCAGTTGATTCCTAGCAATTCTCTTGTTCTTGCGAAGCAACAATTGTCGACCTCCGATTTTGGAAATCGGAAATCTCCTATGTTTATCAGTACCAATCCCTGGATCAGTAGTTGGTACACACATACATAGCCGAATCACAACATATCATGAATGAATTCAGGCTAAAAGAGTTAAATGCTTACATTAGGGCCTGGCAGGCCAACAACTATCAGAGAAACAACAGCGGAAGACAAAATAATACAGGGGCCCGGTTGACATACCACAAGCAGTCGACTGGGAAACGAGACCTAGAATGGAATTAAACTCCGATCATCTTGTTAGGTACGCAAGCGCACTAACAAGGGCTTCTCTTCAACACTCTGCTAAAAGATATATATAGAGCAACAATGAGTACAAAAGTACTCAGCAAGCCACCACACAAAATGTAGTAATGTACAGGATAATACAAGGAGTGGCTATGGTTACTTTGCGTAAAGCTGAGTTTTCAAATATCATTTCACAAACCTAAGACCTAGCATAAACTGATCAAGTTTTAACTCCATTGTTCATTAAACAGCGACGGTTCTATCCACCATCCATTGTGTTCCCAAGGATAGCTTCCCGCCACTGGCCATCATGGTTTTCTGGGGTCTACCCCTTCTCGCCTCTCGAGAAGTTGATCCACTAGTACAAAATCATGATGCATATCCCATCCCAATCAGATTAAGAAATTAGAGTCTAGCCAAGTGTAATACATGTCCCGGTGCTCAATAACCGCGAGCACGGCTATTCGAATAGATTTGTTTTACTCACACTGCAGTGGATGTACACTTTACCCGTACTCCGCAACTGCCCAACACATGAGCCTCGTCCCAACACATGAGACGCGTCACGGCAAAGCCTTTCAATAACCTCACATTGGCAGTACCCGCTCCATGAACTTAAGTCCTCATGCACTCTAGGCGTCATAAGTTTCTAGCAGTGAGAGGAGTTCTGGCGCTCCCGAGGAAGAAAACTCACGCAAGTCTAACATCGCATCCTGTAGTTGAACCCAATCTATGCTGTCCTCTTTTGGGTATCTCCTTGTAGTCTTGTAGTCTTGACAAGTCAGTCTCTGGCCATCCGTATCGGGTATCCGCCATCTGGCCATCCGTATCGGGTATCCGCCAACAGACTGCTTGTTCATCCACACACCTAAGTGAAACCACTATGCAGGGGTACTGCCTCCGCTCGGCTATCTACTCCGCTAGGTCTATACCCATTCGAGAAGTACGGTTGTATTGGGGTCGTTTCATGCTTAGCTTCATGGCTCTGTCCTTAACTGACCAGGGATGGCACTAGCCTTTACCGGACACCACCCAAATCATCCAGCCGCCCCAGTCGAAAACATTTGTTTAGTTTTAATTTTCTTTCACAAATCATCTCATCAATGCCATGGCAATGTGGCACTCATGTCTCTACATGCCGTATCTCAACTACCCTCCCCAAGGTAGTTGCCCAAGCATAAAGCATTTGATAAATATGAGAATGCATGAATCTAAATTAGCATTACTCAGCATTTGTCACAAGTGACTATGGACTCATACGTAATTATGGGTACAAGGGAATAATGAGATAAGCAATAATCAAAGGCATGGCATAATAACAAGTAGGATATTCATCATTGCATGCAATTTTATTTGTAAACAAAACAATTTCGCAATTGGGATCAACATGCTCAAGGGGTGGGGTGATGACTTGCATGCTCAGGATAGTTCTTATTCTTGATATAATCTTGATCAACCTTCACCTCCTGGAAGCTGCATACGTTGCCTCACGACTAACCGATATACAAATTCTATAATACGCGAGAAAAACCAATATTCAATCAAATATGCACAAGCAAAATATAGTTGTTGGGGTCGATTCGTGTTTGCAAACGGATAATCTCTTAATCATTCCTATTGTCATGGCGGCTTGTTTAGGATCTAATCATCATAATATAAATGGGATACACATTTCATTAAATCAGAGTTGATCTATCGAGTTATGGTAGGAGTATGACCACATATGCTTCTAATTAGTTTACATGGGTTTTACAGTGATAAAGCATGGTAAAGAGAATTATCCTCACACCTAGTTTACTGTACAATAATCAATTTTATTTATTAGCATATTTTTAAGTTGATCATAATCTAATCATTTGATATTAATTATGTAACAATTATAAATATATTTTACTAAACAGTGAGTTACATACCATTGGAAAGCTTATGAATTTAGATAAATTTAGGTTCAAGTTTCACTCGAATCGGAGCTAAAATGAATAAGTTATACTAGTTTAAAGATTCAATTTCGAATTAATCCGAGAAATTGTGAAAAGTTACTGTTCCTAATAGATTTGTTCTTAATCCGAAATCCTATCCACAACTACATTGACTGTCATGTGGGACCCCGGGTTTATTCCTTTTCCACCGGATTAATTTTTGCTAGGGGAAATATAGGAGTGGGCCCGGCCTGTCAGTGGCTCGAATGGAGGTCGTCTTCAACCTCCAGCCGGGCAGAGGCAGCCGTGCCATGCGCGCTGGGCACAGCCGGGATGGCGCGAGGCCGGCACGGCGGCGGCTGCGGAAAGTACGGAGAGGCTCCGGCGACCTCCCACCACCGTCAGCGACGCGCGGCGGAGTGAGGGCGAGTGGCGCAGCATGGCTGAGCTCGGGCAGCTAGGTGCTAGGGCGATAGGGAGGGTTTCCGACCAAACTGGTGAGGGCGTGAGCGTCTACGGCGTATGGGGATTCGATTTCATCAGCTAGATGGAGAGGGGAGCTCCCGGATGGCTTGTCCACGGCGAGCTCGCCGGCAGTGCAATGGCGGCCAGGCCGGTACGGCCACGGGTGCTATTTGGCGAAATTGGAGCCGATGCTAGCTATTAGAGAGTTAGAGGATGCTATGGGGTCGAGGGATTACGCTAGGATGGAGA